TGATTCTATACGGATTTTGAACCCAGTTCAATAACGACACATAGATGTTGAGGAAATCTGCGTTGTAGAAATTTATATGCTGAGGAACCAGAGGGTGGATTAGGTTGAAATACATGGTAGCCTGTGATAGCCCACCTATCTGTATTCCATCCTGTTAGTTGCTTTTCTTGTTACTCCTCTCACTTGATCTGTCAGAGGTCTTCTGCATGCTTTGAGAAGAGCTGTGGTTAGTCTTGTATGTGTGTGAGAGAGAGAGAATCAAGGATTATCTAAAAATCTAACGTGCTGTAAATTATATGATCTTAGATTTACCTGTGAATTTAGCTCTCAGAATCATCCTTTGGTAGTCAGACCTACTTAATCATGGAAAAAGAATATTGTTTTTACAAGTATTTTACCACAGAATTATTAATCCTAGTAAATGCCTATCAACAATTTTATTTGCATATGTTTTTCTCCCAAAGCTGCATCAGAAGATGATGACGAAGTCGTATTAATGATTAAGGAACTTCTGGATACTAGAATAAGGTAACTACTTTAAAGCATTGTAACACAATAGGTGTGTGTTGGATTATTTCTGTGTAATGCAATTCTAAATATTTTTAGGCTTACACAAAATAGATATGCAGCATGTGGCCAGATTCTGCACAGACAGGCCAGATTTGTGCTTGGTGTTGTCTCTGATTGAGAAGTACGCCTCCAGGTTTCCCAGTGAAACCAGCTTTGTGCCGAACAGCGTCCGGTTTGCAAGGGTTCTGACTGAGGCCTTGCCTTCATTTACCAGGAGGTCCATGCTGCAGAGATCCACTGGCTCTGTGCTAGTCTCTTTCTAGAGACGACCAAGCTTTCTGCAGCTTTTCCCAGAGATCTCTAGTGTCCTGAAATTGCTGACTGGTCTCTGACTCCCTGATCTTTTATAGTCCCCAGATGCTGCACCACCTTTTTAAATGACCAATTTGGGAGCTCTGGCACAAGGGCGCTACCTGCTTCATTTACAGGGGTCACTCCCTTATGACAGTTCTTTAACTATGCCTCAAAGTGAACAGACAAAAATATAGAAATGTGGATGTGGGGAAATACCTAATGTATATCAGAGTTCCTCTTGTTACTAACAAGGGCTTCTTCCACCAATCACACATTCCAGTAGCGAACACTTTTACATACTGTTGCCTGATCTTAGATTACTTATGAATTTCCAGTTACTGCCTTTACGGATGGCAGGTCCTTTGCCCAGGCCCAGTATTTAATTATTGTGCACCACTGCAGCTTTTGCATTATAGGAACTCTTGTGTATTTACAAATATAGTTTATTAATACCTTTAGCACAACCCCCCCAACTCTATAAGATAGGAAATGTACATCTATATTTCCATACCATATGCTCACGCCATTCCTTTTAGAACATCCTGAGGTGTTAACCATCATCTTCCTCATCATCTTCACCTTCTCCATCATAACCCATCATGACTCTCATTCTGGCACCTCCCAAGGATTTACACCATCACCTCCTTCCACCCCTAGACTGATATGCCGCTTTTATAATGTAACGCTGACATTATGTTTCATGAATATTCAATAGGGGATTCTTCCTTTTCTCTTTGTTTGTAGTCCCTCACCTCTCTAATGGTGAAGTGTCTTTTTCCTATAAGTCAGTATATCATTGATCTCAACTTACTATCATATACATCAGTTTGTTACCATGGGCCTTTTGTGGTTTTCTATCACTTTTGTTGTTTCTGTCATACTCAGTTATTCAGTCTGGTCTTAACCACTTATTTTGGGGTTTTCCAAGTAACGCTGTACCTGCTAAGTTTGAGGGTATTTTTGAAGCCCCTGTGCCACTGAAGCACTTTATCTAGGTGAATGGTCCCAAATATATGCACATTGACTTTTCTATCTGAGTGCAAGGTCCTAGGCATGTGCATGCTAGCTTTGCCTTAGCTCAGCATAGAGGATGTGGCCTGTAAGTCCCTTTTGTTACAGCCAGACTGTCAGTATAAACCTACCACAATTACTTATAATAAACATATAATTGAAATTATATATAGGCAAGCAAGCAAGTTAGCCCTGTAAGCCACAGTACCAGAAAATGTGCCAACAGGGACTCTCTTATTTATAATTTCTATAAAATATTGCATTCTGAAAGCTCTTATACAAATAGGCTACGTCTACACTGGCCCCTTTTCCGAAAGGGGCATGTTAATTTCAGAGATCGTAATAGGGAAATCCGCGGGGGATTTAAATATCCCCCGCGGCATTTAAATAAAAATGTCCGCCGCTTTTTTCCGGCTTTTAGAAAGGCCGGAAAAGAGCGTCTACACTGGCCCCGATCCGGCCCGATCCTCCGGAAAAAAGCCCTTTTCCGGAGGAGCTCTTATTCCTACTTTGAAGTAGGAATGAGATCCTCCAGAAAAGGGCTGTGTCCAGACTCCATGCCTCCGTCGCGGGGCCAGTGTAGACGCTCTTTTCCGGCTTTTCTAAAAGCCGGAAAAAAGCGGCGGACATTTTTATTTAAATGCCGCGGGGGATATTTAAATCCCCCGCGGATTTCCCTATTACGATCTCTGAAATTAACATGCCCCTTTCGGAAAAGGGGCCAATGTAGACGAGACCATACATTGTAAGGAATGTCTTTGAGCTGAGACAGTGATAGTAAACTCCTCTCTCAAAGAAGAGGAAGGGATATAGAGAGGAGGAGGAAAATCTTACTTAATTATAAGGATTGATGTAGTGTGTGTATATATAGAGAGTCTTCAAACTGTGGGGTACCACAGCCAAAATGTATCAAGGGAGCAGATGTTGGGCCAGGAGGAAACTTGGTTTGGTAGGGGGAAGCACACAGACCTTTGCCCAGCAGGTCTTGCTGCCTTTGACCAGGCTTCATGTCCCTAATGCTGCAGTTGCATCCACCAGCTGGTGGGAAGGGCTGGCAAGAGCGCTGCCAGAGGGGGGCTGAAGGCTGCACAGAGCCTCCCCTCATTCTCAGCCTTTCAGTGCAGCCCTGCCTCCCTTGCCTAATGGGCAGAGCCTGCTGTGGGGAAGTGAATGGGTAGAGCCCTGTGTGGCTATAAAATGTGTATCCACATCCGTATCTGCAAAATGAGCATGGATAACTGCATCCGGCAAGCTGAAGTGCCTGGCTCAGGAGTGGGCGGCATCCAGCAGGGCGGTCAGTACTCTAGAGTTGAAGCCTTTTGCTTCCCTCCTGATCCTGGCCCTTTAGCTCAGCCCGGTCGGCTTTCCCATCATGGGGATGATGGATCTGGGCAGAGAGCCAAGTCCTGGCAGCCGAGAACACCTAATTGATGCAAGGAGCAGAAGGCTTCCCCTCCCCAACAGGCCCCCCAAGTTCCAGCTGTGACACACATGGCAGTCTTCTGCATATGCTTCCAAGACCATATTGAGTGATATTTAAGCATTTTGGGGATCTGTTGTATTAAATGCAAAGTGTAGGTATTATTGTGGGCTGAGATGGTTTATAACATCTCCAGGAGAGAGCTGGGACGTGAGTCTTTGGAGTTCAAAGAACTATTGAAAATTTGCTAGATGGGAACAGACTTTGGGGGACAATAAGTTATGCAGAGAGTGAGCCTGTGAAGCTACCACGTGAGGAATGGGTCATACCAGTTCATGGACACTGGAAATCAAATGCCTAAGCTGTCTGAACAGCTGACCTACCCAGCCTGAGTTCTGGTTCTGAAACTAGACTGTTACGAACTTGTAAACACAGGGAAAAACAAGTTGTGGGGTTTGAGAGCCTGACGGTTTAGTTGGGGGAAGATCTCTGGTAAGCTTGTTAATGTGTATGTTTTCACATATTTACTCTTGCAGTTGTGCGCATACACTGTTCAGAGCCACTGGAGAGACAGCCAATGCAGACACTGGCTTTGGGCAGCCTGGTTCGCTGCGGATATTGCAGTGTAGGCAGGGAACTGTGCATCCTTAATCCCCTGGGCAGGAGGTAGTGAGATGCAGGTCTCGGCTGAAGAGAAGTGAAGGCTAAGGTGTCAGGAGCCTAGAGTGAGTGCACTTGAGGCAGCACTGTGTGTGGAGAGCACTGATGCAGTTGCCTTGAAACAGGACATTGTCCTTTTCATATTTGTTCATTTTTTTTAATTGTATCCTTTGGTATATATGGTTGTGACTACTTTCTTCTACTATTTGATCTGAGGAAGTGGGTCTGGCCCACGAAAGCTCATCATCTAATAAACCATCTTGTTAGTCTTTAAAGTGCTACATTGTCCTGCATTTAGCGTTAAAGTAGTCTTTGCTGTCATGGGTTATGTGGTTGTCTAAATCTTTTGCAGTACATTAGCCTTAAAATTCACAGTTGTCTCTTTCATATGCACCAGAAATTCTGTTAAAATTGTTTGTCCTTTTATGCAGTTGGCCAGAAAGCAACAGTAGCCTGTTGTTACTTGTGTCAATATCATTACTGAATAGTTTCCAGGAGCTCTGTACAAGCCCAGTGATACATACAGAGTGTTCATTGTTTACACAGAAGAACATCAAAAGTGTGAGCAAAGGAATCCAAAGCCGAAGAGGTATGTCTGCACTGCAGTTCAATACCTGTGGCTAACCCTTGTCAGCAGACTCGGGCTTACAAGGCTTGGGCTACAGAGCTGTCAAGTTGTGGTGTAGACATTTGGGCTCAGGCACCATGAGACCTCTGGCTCCAGCCCAAGCCCGAATGTCTGCAGCACAATTTTTACAGTTCCATAGCCTGAGTCCCACAAGCCTGAGTCAGCTGACATTGGCCAGCCACAATGGGAGGGAAGAAGGGAAGATTAGAATTGGGTTGCAGCATGTTAAAATCTTGTATTTAAAATAAGGGAGGAATAAATTTTAATCAGATCCTTTTTGTTTGCTGGCTTCCAGGAATTGAGCTGATTTGTTTAGAGTAAGTTGTTGATGCCGATGTTCATAAATTTGACTAAATCTTAAATTATTCCAGAAGGGGAGAAATTCTCAAGCGTTGTTCTTGGAATTGGTATAAAGAGCTTCTGTTCAAGTAACATGATGTTTTTTAGCTTGGCATCTGGAAAAATGTTGCCATGGGGATGCAGTAATAAAGTTGGTCATTTGTTAGTTGTGACGAGACTAGATTGGGGAAATGTCAGTGGCACTGGCGCCTCATCCTGTGAGATCAGCTAGCCAGATCATACTTGGTTGTTTTCTTCCATGGAGAATATACAAAACACAACATTCAACACCATGTAGAATCTAGCATAATGATTCCCTGTTCTACTGCATTCGGTTTGCAACAAGCTCTAATATACCGAAGACATTTTTAGAAAGGAAAATCCTCCAGTTTTGCAGTTTACTAAGGATTCTGCCTTAATATAATACAGAGAGGAGAGTAAACAGGTGACATTTAACATCGATGCCTATTTCAAAGTTTCAGGATGTTGGTATGGGGGTGGAAGTGAAGGTTGTTTATCATGTGTGTTAACTATAACTTAGTTGTCTTGGTAGCTTGTGTAACACAAAGAAATGTTTCAAAGGGGTGACTGAGTTAGTCTATACTGGATAAACTTTAAAAACAACAAATAGTCTGGTAGCACTTTATAGACTAACAAAACATGTAGATGGTATCACGAGCTTTCATGTGCACAGCCCACTTCTTCAGATGACTGTAGGATGTCCAGTTATTTTACTCAGTTATTTTTTATTGTAAAAATCCAGACAAATGTTGTACAAGCTTGTAGCCTGTATTTCCATATTAACTTACCAATAACAAAAATACCAGTCCAGAACATAAAACTGACTCTTTCTCGTCTTTCCGTAAATCTACAGTTAATTTTTTTCCACAGTAGAACAGATGATGGAATTTTCCAACTTTATATAAGACTCAGTGGCTACAGAGTTGTAGAGCCTATACCTGTGTTACTAGTTCAGGGTGAGAGTGGCCAATAGTTGATATCAAATGTTTGACTCTTAGTCTACATGACATGGGTTGGGAAGGATCTCAGGGATGTTAAATTGCATTTAATCAGCTAATCGAGTAGTCAGTGGAATTTCCATTGACTACTCAATTAATCAATAACTAGCCCTGGGGAGCTAGCCCTGCTGCAGATCTGCCTTTTAAATGTAGTAAGAGCCACCTGGCTCATACTCCCTTTAAAAAAAGAGAAGCGCAGCATCTGGGACAGGGCGTGAGCCAGGACAGCTAATTCCTGGCTCATACCCAGCCCCTGCTGCTCCTCTGCCTCCCCTGCCCTCCCTCCCGGAGACAGTGCTGGAGGGAACGGGCTTTTAAGCCAACTTCCAGTCTTGTTGCCTCTGATAGAGGCAGCAAGGGGAGAGGGGAAAGCAACTAGTCGAGTAGGGACTCAACTACCCGAGAAGTCTGGGGTGAGCAATAATTTTTGAAAAGGGGACCACTTCAGAAATTTCAGGACTAGGAGACTTCTTGTGCTTTACCACCACCCTGCTGGGCCCAGGCTTCCCCCCCTCCCTT